ACTCAAAGGCGCCTAACCACAATGACAATGGTTTTACATCACCGTGTACAATGGAGCATGACACCATTAAAGGCAACGGCTTTTATGGCACTAATTATTCTCATGTGATGCTCCAATCAAAGTCTGGCTGAAATTTTCCTTTCTCCTTTAAAAAAACCTTTCCAGTCAGACAATCCATAGCTTAGATTCTAACCTCTCTGAGATCAAGGATCAGCTAGGTTTGGTTCACCACCTATCATTATACTACTCCATGGCAGAGCTAACAGAGTCATGGGGCCACAGTAGATTTGCTATGATATGAGGTAGCCCCTCATTTATGATGTATTCAAGTTACAAGAACTGCACTGTAGAATATCTGATTTTTGTGTTTGTGTGTGTGTGTTTTAATCTTGTCATTAGAATGTGTGCTACATAAATGGGGGGGGGGGGAATCCAAACCATCCCATCAAGCCAATTCAGACTCACAGGTACTCCATATAGGATTTCTGAGGCTGCTTGTAGAAAACAGCTTCCTCTTTTGCCCTGAAAGCCTCTGCTGGTTTTGAACTGCCCATCTTCACTTACTAATCCAATGCTAATCAGACTTACAATGTTAACAGAGAGATGTGTGTTAACAGGTGATCATTTCAGCCACCAAAGTAAATAAAGATAGAACTTATACAGATATGAATAATAAAAGACAATGACAATGAAAACTAATAATAATAATAAGGTATTCAAATTATGTCAAGACCCACTTGCTATGGAGTTTTCAGAATAGAAGTCTACCATAGGTCAAGGACTACCTGCATATGTTTTAAATAACTACTTCGACTCTGAATGAAGGCATATTATGACAATAAGTTCAAAGGAGTTATTTTCTTGTTCATTTTTAAATATTTTTATTGAGATATTTACAGTTCAATAGGTGAATCATATGAAGAAGATTTGTGCATTCATCACAAACAACTTTGGAAAATTTATTTATTTTTGTACCCACTGCTGTTGACTCCTTATTTCCCTCTCCCCACTTCCCCTTTGGTGCCATCAGGTAATTATTCATCTTGTTGCTACCTTGGTAAATTCACCCATCCTGACTTCCCTATACAGAAGAATATACAAAACAAAGACAGAAAACGGACCCGGCAACAAGGACAAAATAAGACAGAGGGCTCAGAAGCAACAAAGCCCACATGGAAGAAGCACACCAGCCTGTGTGATCATGAGCTGTCGAAGGGATCAAGTAGCAAGCATCAAAGAACAAAAAAATAAAATTATTGCAAATGAAGGAGAGTGCAGATTGGGGGCCCAGGACCCATCTGTAGGCAACTGGACATCCCCTTATCACAGGGAAGAGACGAACCAGTCAGGGTGTAGGGTAGCAATGATGAAACATACAACTTTCCTCTAATTCCTAAATGCTTCCTCCCCAACCCCCACA